TTTCTTTCTTCTTCTTTTTCTTTTTTAACTTTTTGAAAGTGTACTCCCACCCGAACAATTTAAATAAAATTATTCTAAAACTTTATATTTTTATCAATTATTATTAAATATTTATTAATTATTATTGTTTAATTGCCAACTAAATAATTCAACCAACAACTTTAGTGATAATTGATAGTTTTGTTATACCAAGCTAACAACATGATATTGAAGTAACCTTTAAATTTCATAAAATTTTTATGTATTTATATTATGGCAAAGATTCATAAAAGATTTTAAATTAAAAAAATAAAAAATTTAGATTTAGATTTAAATAAGGTCCAGATTTATAAATTTTTAAGTGTTTAAATAGAGTATTTAGTTAAAATTTAAATTTAAATGCAAATCTAAATCCATAACTATCTAAGCATACCATGAATCTGTCAAGTTTAAAGTGAACGCTCTCCCACCCTCCCCCCCCAAAAAAAGAAAGTGTTCTCCGTGGAGATAAAAAACACAAATTTGATTTATTTGTATTATATCATATCACTGCCTTTATTTAAAAAATAATAATTAACGGAGGAAGCATGCCTCACATGACGTCATTAAAAAGAAATGATTTTTTTTTTCCTGGTAAATAATATTAGTCTGAAGGGAGAAGGGGATCGGGTGGAATACGCGTGGCATTTCTGAAGGCCCGATTTGCATGTTGTGAATGATGGCGGCGCGGCGCTCATCACCGAAGGCGTGATGTGATCGTGTGCGGACAGCCCCACAGAGAGAGGCCTCACTCTCTCCGTCTCTAATGATCTCAAACGCTGCGCATCTCACCCACCGACATCAATGGAACTCGCTACATCTTTCGCTGCACATTCATTCAAAATCCCTCCATTTCCCTCACTTTATTGTATTACACATCTACACTTACATGGCTTTCCTATTTATTTCGATTAGATTCGGTGAGTAACCTAAATTTACTTAGCAAATAAAAATCTTAATCATGATTTTTTATGATGAAAACACTCTTTATTCTCTTTAATGATTTGAAATTTAATACTTTTTAAGTTTTATACAACAAAATTAATTTGATACTTTTTAAATTTTATACAACAAAATCTCTAATGTCCCTTTAGTTGTATAAATGAGTGAGTGTTGGGCCATGATCCAAATCCCTTTTTTATCTCCTCTTTTAACAAATCAGAGGACCCATGAATCGCTTTATAATCTGGTGATATGATGCTCCCTTTTTTTTTTTTGTAGATATCATATAATTTAAAAAAAGAAACAAATGAAAGATTCTGTATTTTCATGACGCATGTATTTAAACCAGCAAGAAATATGATAGAAAGATTCTTTCTAATGCACTCCTACAATTTTGTATATTAATCACTTTTTAAAAGCATAATTTAGTCTCTCTTTTAAGTACTAGTTGATGAGATAGTTTTGTTTTAAATAAAATTTTTAAATTATCATTAAAAAGTAAGAAAGGGAAAGATAAAAAATAATATTATATTACTTGTTTACTTTTTATTTTTTATTTTAGAATTATATTTAAAATTTTATGTTTTATTTTTTATATTTTTATTGTATTAATATGGATGATGTTAATAAAAATAATTTTTAAATAAATTTGAGGAAGTAATCTTAAAGAAAAATTCAAGTGTGACTCTAACCCATCACACATATTCAAAACGGGGGGGCCCTTTTAGTGGAGGTCCTTCCAAATGCGCAAGACAAGACAGGTATTGGTAAGGAGCCAGTATATGTCATTTCTCACACAAGGATCAAAATTCGATCTCATCAAGGATATATAGATCCGAAATGGACAGCGTCAAATTAAATATGAATATAACTAATTTGTTATACTACTGTCTAGTGTCAAGTAGTAAGAAAAATGTGCACAAGACACGAAGCAAGAGAGAGATTGATGCCGACCTCTTTCTCTCTTTCACAATCTCATTACATTTCTTGTTTCAAATATGAAAGAAAAAGTAAGTTGTACTGAAATGGTTCTCCGTTTCTCGTGTGGGGAGTTGAACATGGTCGGGCCGCCTGTCCCTATATAAAAAGTAGAGTTTGAATTTACAACTAATTAAGTTGATAGACGGGGCAAGATATTTATGTTGCAAGTTGACCTATCTTTATCACATGAACCTGACAGCTTCCACAGAGACACAATCTTTTCATGGCCCCATGGAGATCATAAAATTGAAGTATAGAAAGGAAAAGTCTGTTAACAGCAGAGGGAAAAAGGAACAGCGGAATTGGAGAATGATAAGGAAAAGTTGGACCGTAAAAGGAAGGGTTGTTTTCTGTCTGTCTAACAGTACCACACTCTTGTGCTTGATTCTGTAGATACTATGTTTGTTTTACTCATTAGTTTCATGCAATTAATTAATATATGTTTATAAATATTATGCATCCAATGGGAAGTCAAAGCTAGTGTTTAGACACAGGTGAATCATCATGTTCAAACTGCTGATGCTTCCTCATTTCGTCGATGATTAAATCCCTAAAGCAAGGGTCAAAAAGTAGTTGCCGGTATAGAAACAAAAACTTTCCGACATTTCTTTCGTTTTGACATTTTTCCTCCAATCGCGTGTTGACTAAACTCTCGATCGATCCACGCATCCGCAGGAAATCCCGATGCGATGCAATTACTGTGGTCATCATTGAGCTTGGAGTAACAACAGGTCGATCCATTTTTCAAGAACCTGGTGAAAGCAAAATGAAGTTGCTGGTATCCACAGGTCCATCATTTCCACCCCAAATTTCAGCATCACAAGTTTTTTTAATTCTGCAAAAAGAGGTCTTTAATATCGCTGTTCGTGGCAAATTGTGATACATGCATATGACGAAACCGAGGACTCCACTTAGTTGGACAGAATTGCATTCTCAATAAGAGACTTTACCAACCTTCACAAATTATAAAAGTGCGTATATTTTCGGATACAGATCGACTACCAAGAAGCTGAAGGTTATTGGTGTTAGTTTAAATGTCATTTCTTAACTTACATATTCACACCACATTTTTTCTTTTGGGAACAAAAGCACAAAACCACATCATCGACAATCTCTCTTCGATGCAGCTGCCGCGAAAGCCCAAGCAGGATAAAATGTCCCTTCGGCTAATGGACCAAACGATGACATAGAACAGTGCCAGGCCCAAAAAGAGATCAACAATAATTTTGAACGGATTGGATACAACAGTCTCCCGTGAGCCCAAACACCAGTATGTATAAAGTTGTTACGTTCTCCTTCACGCGCGCGCGCGCACGCACACACACAAAAAGAAATAAAAAAAGAAAAAAGGAAACGGCATATGAATCAAGTGTCTCGTAGCCCAAACGTCAAAAGTTCTTATGGGTCTTGATGGCTCAAACAGTTGAGGATGGAGTTCTATTTGCATTTTGCAATGAAGACTCCAAGGCTTCCACTTTTCTTTTCTGTTTCTTGTTTCCTTTCATCTTCTTTTTTCTTTTGTTTTTTTTTTTAAACGTGGGAACTATATGAAAAGCATTTTTTTTTTGGTATACAAAAAACATAGACAACGACAAAGGACCATTTGTGGGAGAGGAAGCAGGTTGGTTTCTAGGAAATCAAGCAAATTGTTATGAAAATACAGTTTGAAAGGAGGAGAGAAGAGAAAGAATTATAATGGGAGAACTAAAAAAATAAGATAATTGAGAGCTTTTTATTTTAATGTAACAAATAAAATTGAGATATATTTCATTTATAAACACAAGCGTATCAATTAAATTAAATAAAATATGGAATATAATAATAATTGAAAAATGTTATGGTAATCGAAAGACATTATATTATGTTTGGATATATAGAGATTTGAATTTAAATTTGTCTCAAATTTATTATTTGGGTAATTAAAAAAGTATGACTTTGAATTTGACCCAAATTTAAATTCAAGTTTTTCTTCCATCTCTTTGTAATTTAAAATCATTTCTAAACCTCTATTATTTCACATCTTTCATAAATCTCTTTGTAATTTGACTGGCCCATTAGCGACACTAAACAAACCAAATTGCCAACGAAGACCAAGACCGGGCTACAATTGCCAACTAGGATCGGACGATCGACACCAATTAAAATTAGATGGCCAACTTCCATAAGGAAGAACGAATAACACCAATTGGGACAGGATTGCCAACGTTGATTGAGATCAAAGTGCTGGCTATTATTGGGATTGGATGATCAACTTACATAAGTGGAAGTTGGTTGAATAGTCTTGATCGTTGATTGTGCTTCGATCTTGGTCGATCGATGATAGTCGACTATCTGGTAATGATCATTGCCTGTGCATTGATCTCGGTCAGCACCAGTGACCCAATCCCGATCAAAGTTGGTTGTTTGGCAACGTTTGTCTATAGCAAAATGAACATAATCAACGTTGGCAATTCAGTCCCAATGAAAGTTGGTTGTTTGATCCTAGTCGAAGCCAACAATCCAATCCTTATCAGTGTCGGTGGTTCAGTCCTGGTGAAAGTCAACCATCCTATCTTGATCATGGCATGTGCTAGCCATCTAGCCCTAATTGTCACCGATAGTATAATCCGATAAAAGTCTAATGTTCAATTTTCAATTCCGATAGGTGTCAACGGTTTTATTTCGGTGAAAATTAGTCTTCCAAACCACCTACTTTGATTAGGACAAAACTACCAACGTTGTCCAAGTTGCTTTGAAATTCAAACATAAAATATAAAATTTTACTTAATATTCAAACAAAAAATTTTAATATTATAACTTATAATTTTTTATATTATCTAAACAAAAAATCTAAAATTTATAAATTTCAAGTAAATTTTAAATATAAAATTTTTAATCCAAATTTTCAACTCAAATTTACCAATTAAAACAAAACATGAAAAAATTTGACATAATAAACATCTACATAATATATTAAATGTACATTGTTCAAAATTAAATGCAAATCTCTCAGAATCGATGGATGGATAGTAAAAAATCTCAAGCGGCAGTACAAGTCATAATAATACCATTACAGCACATTCTAAGAACTTCAGTTATAATATTGCAAAGACAACTTCTTTCAAAGCAAACATGACACTACGACAGCTTCTACTTCACACGAAAGTATTCCAAGCAAACAAGATAAGCGGGGGAATGCGGCCGAACAAATAAAGATTCGCACCGGCATTTCCTCTTGTCCCAAAAAAGAAAAACAAAACAAAAATAAAAAACCAAGAAAAAGGAAGGCACTCAACACTCAACAGATTACACTCTATTCAGCTGGACGAAGGAATATACACGTTGGCCATCGAACGGAAAACAGATAAAAGCATTAAGGAAATTTAAAAAAAAAAAACAAAAACAAAAATCTTCGGGGGTCAGCAGCTCAACTTTAGAACCATGCAGCATAACGATGCTTGTACTCGCCTCAAGCACTCCGCTGTAACCTCAAATGGCAGAAAAATCATGGAGGCTAAGAAGGGAAAGCTTCAATATCTGAAAACTCAACCACCCATTCACTAAGATCAGAGAGCAAGAGAGCACTATTTTTAATCCTAACCCCTGGCCAACAATAAATCCAAATTACTGGAATGGGAATTAGATGAAGACCCCTCTGGTTGAAATTTTCTTCTCCCAGTTCTGTTGCTGTAAAGACTATTTTCTTGCCTATGTGGAAGCTCCTGATATGCTACGTGATGCAAATGTAGGAAGGCAACCATGCTAACAGCGACCAAAGCAGCATTGCCCACTATTCCACCCATACTATCCAATCTGAGTGTTTTTCTCACAAAATTGACGCTTGAAAGGAAGACATTGATAAAGATATTAGATTTCTTTCCTTTGTCAGTCACAAAATTCTCACCAGGACCACAAAGGTTTTCCCGCAAAAGAGAGCGCCCTGTGCCCTGCACGTCTCCAACAAAAGCCAGAGCTTCTTCAATGACTTTGTACTTCTTACCATGATGTTCTGCCAATCTCATTGCAAGAACAATTCGGCTTTGTTCTAGTCGGGCAATTGCAGCATCTCTCTCAGCACGCTGCTGTGTTTGAATGGTCTGCAAAACATTAACAAATTATCAATAAAATGAACATTTTACCATTTCTAAGAGTTCGTAGTAAATGGCAATAAAATGCCAGTGGAGTCCTTCAAGATTGATTAGTAGGGTGCTAAAACTTCTAATGTTCCAGGAGAAGCTAAATAATAGACAAATTTTCAATAAATCAGGTCCATTTTTCCATGAAAATATCAGTGCCAAAGATATAGGAATCCAACACTATGATAACAATTCATCATAAAAATTCAACGTGGTTGAAGAATTCACAGCCTCCAGCCAAACAATTCAGTATTTGACAATACAACAGAACATGCTCTAGCACTTTCAAGGCAGATAGACTCTTCCCCACAAACCACTTCAATTTCCTCCTTGAACAGCCTCTTCCCTCCAGGCATTTGTTTTTCTCCATAATTTTTCGCTTTGCAGAGGCCATCATTGGTTGCCATGGACACCTTGACTTATCATGATAATTCCCTCTTCCTATCTCCTCACTTATCTGAGCTTATAGGGAAAACGAGTCCAAAGGCCCAAGTTTCCTCAATAGATTCACCGAAAGGGGTTCCTATCATTTCTTAGCAAAGGACTGGGTGATAGAAGAATCAAATCAAATTCCTCAGGTTTCAGAAGAAACTAGAGGTTGGACAAGTCTATTGCTTATATCTATAAACTAGGATAATCCCTTTGGATCATTTTTATATTCTGCAGCACCTCCAGTAACTATACAAACTAGCCTTTTCGTGGAATAGAAGATTCTTGCATACACATTATGCAAAATTTTGCCAGTGCACTGGACCAATAAAAAACTGGCCGGTAGTTTAACAATCTGTTCAGCAGTGGGAATAAGATCTAAACACATCAAACTAACAGTCCATTTACATCCAGTGCAAAAACAGAAGTTCGCACAATGTTCCTCCTGAATTTTAGGAAGCACAATTCCTCATTCTTCCTTTTCTCTCGTTAGCTAACTTGATGAACTTAGGACATTAGTGCTGTCATGTAATTCTTGTCAAAGACAACCAATATGAGGCATAACACATGTACAAATGCAATACAAGCAAAATATAGTGAAGCAGGTTAACAATTTAAAGCAAGGGATTTAAATTTTCAAATATCAAATATTATAAGACAATTAAGTCCTCATATGAAGTTCGTTATATTCCAGGCATTGGCGAGTGACTTGTTTAATCAAATTTCCAAGTTGAGGTAGCTCTACAGTCGATGCACGCCGAAACCTCCATCATTATTCTCGCAATCATCTCCCGTGGCTTTGTCTGTCGCTTATCAATGTTTTTAACCCCAAAGGAATTTGAGCTGAACCTCAAGTAACTCAAATTCCCGTCCATATAAGGTTGCTAACAGTTAACGATTTCTAATTTAATCTCAAATAACTGTAAGACATAGTAGCCCATAATTTTCAGGACAAATTAAAAGATAAATCAACATGCTGGTTTAATCAGTTTCTTAACAGTGATGTTAAGGACTCGACAAAAATAGTTCCAAAATTCTAACATTTCCTTGGTTTTCACTTTTCATGCATCAAAATTGGGAAGGAACCCTGTGAATGCATCGGGCAGGCAACCTAAATGAATCATCATGATTTCGAATTTAAAGCCACAATAGAAAAATAGTAGGGGAATATCATTTTCTTAGATTTTTTGTTTTTGAAATTTCCCGCGAGAAACGATAAAACAGAAAACCTAAGGGGGGGAGGAATGAAACTCACATGGTAGACCTCAAGCTGGTCTTCAAGGTTCTCGAGTGCGGTCCTAATGGCGTTTAGACTCTTGGCCTCCTGAATCAGGGAGTCATCGGCCTCAAGCCGAATGTCCTTCACAAAAACAAAGCCAAGGCCATCGTCGGAGGAGGATTTGTGGTTGGGGGATTTGCGGAGGGTTTTGATGGAGTTGAGGAAGTGAGTTCTGGAAATCGAGTGGATTGTGTCGCTGAGCTTGTCGTGGAGGTCCCAGATTTTCTCCAGAATCGCTTCGATTTCCTCCATCTCCATTTCCCACCTCATTTCATAACTTGCTATGGACCTAGCTAGCCGCTTCCCATGCGTTACTTGTTACGGAGGCCACAAGAAGCTTTCTTTCTTTGGGTCTCAACGTCACGTCGTCTGTATCCTTCTGGAGTTTGATGGAAGGTTGTCGTTGGCGCTTAAAACGCCAAATAGATGGTCCTCTGTTTTTTTTTTTTTTTGGTCTGACCAAACAAATGGTCCTTGCTCACTAGTCACCACTCACTGTTTTAATTTGACTTTTGAGCTTTGAGCCACGGACGAGTGACGGTTGATTTGGATCACAACGACATTTGTTTTGGCTCTAATTAAAGTAAAATTGCAAAGATTATGATGGGTCAAATTTTAAGCCATTCATAGATGATAGGTTCTGAAACTTTTAAAATGGAAAAATAAATTCCTCAACTATCATAGTTCAGACTGCGAGAAAAATATGTCTTCAAGTTTTAACCCAAAAATAATAATAATAATAAAGAACTATCTCAAAATTACTGTAACAAGCTTTCATTTTTCTTTTTTCGCAATACAAACGCAAGCTTCAGCTTGAGAAACCAAAACTAAGAAGAAAAGAAACAAATTAGATAACGCGTAAGCTACAGCGCGCGAAACATGAGGCAATGACTGTCTATCTTCCCAAAAAATCTGCATGCATCCCGCGGGCACGCCTTCTTCGAGGTCCATGGCAAAATCACTAGCATGAGCTCATCGAATAGAAGTTCTGGGCAAATAAATAATTCTGGCTTCCCAATGGTCGTAGATAATCCCTCTAACCTCTGAAATCTCCCCTCTCAAAGGGTGATGAGGAGAGCAGCTCCTAAGAAGGTTGATAGCATCAAGAGAGTCTTTAGGAAGCTGAATCTCAAAGAATCCTAGAGTTTTGCTCAGTTCCAGTCCATTTTTAATGGCCAAGATCTCAGCCGCAGTAGAGCCTAGATATCCCAATTTCTTCTTAAAGCCCATTATCCAGTCACCTTCAGCGTTCCTAGTTACTTTGCCACAAGCAACGTGATTCTGGTTCCAAACCGACGCGTCCACATCCACTCTCATTGTATCAGATGGTGGTGGTGTCCAGATAGGCTCTTGGTCGCCAATAGTGACAAAGATTTTGTGCTTCCACATAGCATTTGCTGCATCTTCTGATAAGAGGTGTTAACATCTTTGCATCCAGATCATCTAGCAAGCATAACTAAACACCCTTGTCCATGGCCAGTTGTTCACACATATATTGTCTCCCTGGGTTGTGCCGTGCGTTTCAATGAAGCCATTCCTGCAAGGTAAGAGATGAAAAACAACTAAAAGCATTAGGATTAATCAAGGATTGTCACACTTCTTTTGCTTCTTGCAGTCCCGAAGTGTGTGAATTACACTCCTCACAATTACACTCAAAAAGACATGAATTAGTACCCTTGCTTAGTTCTGACTGAGTTAGCAACTATCCTCTCATGAGAAGCCTGCCAAGGGAACATTTTAACCTTTGTTGATATTTGCCACTTCTCGATATGCTTCCAACAATAATTATCTCTTGTCTCTACTAACTGCGCAATGAAATTATATGCTGACTTAACAGAAAAACATCCATTTGGGGAGGGTCTCAATACCACTCATCTTCTCTATTATTATTAGGAGGTTTGCTCTTCTTCAATTGTTCAATCACCCAAAGAGGAAAATAAAGATACCATGTGAGAACATCCCACCCTCCATATGGTAGAACAAAATCATGACCATACGTATTTTGCTCGATAAGATGAACATTACTTATAGCAAGGGAGTGTAGTGATTTGTCTAAATGTCTCCATCGATCCCATCCAAAAATTGGTATTTCTCCCACTACTAACTTTCTTACTCAATCCTTTCTCAAAAAGGTCCCAAGCTCAAGATATAGCTCTCCAGACAAGGGAAGAGCTTTGTCGTTTCTTAACCATGGGTATTTGATCCCCACACCTGTACTTAGCTTTAAGAACCTTTACCCAAAGCTTTTCCTCTTTGGTTACAAGGTTCCAACAAAGTTTCATAATGAATGCCTTGTTTTGAGACATGAGATTTTTAATACCAAGCCCGCCAAAAGATTTACTATATGTGATAGTGTCTTAGGCTATCAAATACATTTTGTAAACCGCATCATCTTGACTCAAAAAGAATCGTCTACTTATCTGTTCTAGCTCCTTGATAACACCTTTAGGAAGAAGTGCATATATTGCATTTGGTAGGTGAGAAGATGAGATAAAACATATTTGATAAGAATAGTTTTACCAGCCTTCTTAAGATATACTTACCTTTTTAAGGGGACAACCGTTTCTTGACTCTTTGAATATTTAGGTAGAAGGTTACCTTAATAACCCTAGAATGGATGAGAGACCCCCTTAAGTATTTTTCAACGTTTGCAATAAAAGAGTTCTCAACTAGGGCCTACCTTGATAAGCCTGATTATATTTTAAGATTCTCTTTTACAAGGATAGGCTCTAATTTTTTTAACTTTTTTCAATTTAAAAATTTTAAAAATATATTTATAATTACAAAAAAGCTATTACACATAAGATTAAGTTTTAAAAAAATAAATTTAAGTTAATTCACACAACAACAAATATATAAACTATTGTCTAGAATATTTTTCAAATATGTTCTATTATTATTGTGTATATATCTCTGTTATTATAAGGAGATATTATTTGATATTATTATATAGTTGTTAGTTATTATTGTATTATCTTTTTGTTGTATTATATATTTTTTTTGTGTATATAATGTAACATTCATTTCTATAATAGATACGATATTTTTCAATCATTCTCTAGTTTATCTCTCTTATCTGATAGCTTTCATGGTACTAGAGTCATATAATTTTTTTCCACGATAAGTCAGGTTTTAAAGAGCGTTAGCTTGCCTTTGTAGCAGCGTTGCCATCTTTTGTCATGAGTTCAAATCTTCCTTAAATTTATTTTCACATATCCACAAGGCAGCTTCAGTAAATCAACATTTGTAGATCCACTAATCATTGGATCATGCTAAAATTTGGTCAACAGGTAAAGAACATTGACATGTCATCTTGAATGGTCAGATCGTTGATTAGTTTCCTGATATTAGTGCTATGCCATGTCCACTATAGTCTTTAGTTTGGATGGTTTTAATCCTTCATTTTCTTTTGTAAGCCTTTTTTTCTCTTAAAAAAATAAAAAATTTAGATGTTTCTCAATCTGTATTAGTTCCTTTGAATGGTTGCAATTATCATCTTTAATTCAAAAAATGTGATCTTGCTCAACCTACTTTAGGATCCTATCCGATTGAACTTGAAACTTTGTTGCGCACATTCGTCTCCAGTTCCTCTAGCCCATTTGCTGCCTTATCTACTCTAACTAATAAATCCACTTGATATTTTGATTCTGCCTGTTGCAATCATATGACAGGTCAAGAAAATTTCTTCTCCTCTATGACACCTAACTCTACTTCTTATCTTATATACACTGCTAATAATTCTCAAATACCTGTTAGTCATATTGATAATATCTCCTTGGCTTCCCTATCCATTCATGATATATATTTTGTTCCTGCCATTAACTTTGACCTTCTTTCTGTTAGACAACTTGTTGATGTAGTTATGATGTGTTATTTAATCAACATAGTTGTGTTGTGAATGATTACTTAGATAGGACAGGTTGTTAGGATCGAGTGTAAAGTTGGTTGCATGTTCAAACTCACTTCAATGCACCTACATGAGATCACTGTTCCCACATTGTGTGCTGCCTCCACATCATCTTCTCCTTATTCTTCTGTCGACCTTTGGCATCATCATCTTGCTCACCCTTCTTTAAGTAAATTGCGTCCTTTAATTTCTAATGGTCTTTTAGGTCATGTTCATAACCATTTTTTGCAATGCATTTCTTGTCAAACTACCAAACAACCTGCTTTGTCTTTTCATAAAAATGATTCTATTACTACTTCTCCATTTGATTTATTTCATTCTGATATTTGGGGCCTTGCACCTACTTCCTCTACGGAAGGATCTCGATATTTTGTGATTTTTGTTAATGATTTTTCTTGTTTTACTTGGATTTATATGATAAAACATCGATATGAGTTACCTAAACTTTATATCAGATTTGCTATTATAGTTCACATTTAATATTCTAAAGTCATTAAAAATTTTCATTGTGATAATGCTTTGGAATATCATAACTCTAAATTACTCACCTTTCTTGATTCTCAAGGTATTATTTATCAATATTCTTGTCCTTATACTTCTTAACAAAAGCGTAAACACTGTCATGTTCTTAATTCTGATAAGGCATTGCTTGTTTCTTGTTCTTGTCTTGAATGGTTTTAGGGTGAAGCAATCTTAACCTTTATCTTTTGCATTAATTGACTCTTGTCTCCTGTTACCAATAACATTTCTCCTTTTAAGCGATTTCATGGTTATCTACTTAATTATAGTCTTTTGAAAGTCTTTGCTTGTATCCATTTTTTTTTTCTTTTGTCTCATGAGACAAACAAACTTCAAGCTCGTTCTCGTGTTTGTTGTTTTGTTAGTTATACTGGTTATTATTATTGGGATTCTCTCTCTCACTGCATTCGTATTTCTCAGCATATTGTCTTTTAGAAAAATATCAAGTTTTCATCTCTAATTGACCTCTCATTGTTCTTATCTTCTTTATCTCCTATTTTTACAGATATTTCTATTGATTTTTTTTCCAGTAACTTAAGTACAAATTCTTCTATTGAGCTCATTTCCACAACTGACACTATGCCCCCTCCAGACATGACTACTGTCACACTTATTGCTCCTCCAGCATAAGTCATGCTTACTAAGCTTGTATCATCTATAGACTCTCAGTCCAATCGTGTAAGAAATCCTCCCTCTTACCTCAATGATTACCAAAATTTTTCCACCATTCTCCAGTTTCAAGAACCCAGATCCTTTAAGGAAGCTTCTCATGATTCCTTTTGGTAGCAAGCTATGAATGATGAATTGCACACCTTAGAGAAAATGCATACTTGGAATTTTGTTGATCTTCCTCCTTGTAAAACTTTGGTTAGGAGAGCATATGTCACTTACACTCCAAAATAGCTAAGTTAACACTAATATAATACTAGTGGCAACCTAAATCATTCTTCATTAAGGAGGCTAACTAAGATTAATTAAGGCAAAACTAGTGAGTTAAACTAACTAAGAGTTGATTGATTTTAGCTAATTGAACTAAATGGACAGATTTAATTAAAAACCTAATTAACTAGTGAAATAAAAATGAGAGTGTTTTAACCCTTTCTAAAGTGGAGTCCTAAGAGTTGTAGGATGTTAGATTCCTTATCTACTCTTTTTAATTAGGCTTAAGTTAATTTTTCCTTTCTTAATCAAATTAAACTCTTTACACAATTTTATATAAGTGTGCCTTCGTAACTAATTCAATTAACTTAGTTCTTGCACAATTTTGTACAAGTTCCTAATCAATTCTTTAGTTAAGTGTAAAGTGATCAAAATTCTCCTTAGGTTCCCTTTACGTGTAGCTTGACCTATGGTAATTCTAATGCATAATTTTACATACAAGTCATTTTATTAAATACCAACCAAACATATTTATGCATAGCCAATATAAAACACATTCAACACACATAAAATATATATTTATATGAATTATAATGTATTGGAGAAAATTTTTAGAAACTACACAAAGGAGAATTGAGTGAAAAAACATTAAACCAATAAGTTAAATGCTAATTTTGGTCAACAAAAATAAGATATAACAATGCTCCTAATTTTAAGAATAAGATTACATTAACTTAGATTTAATGGAGAGTGGTCATAACCCTTATCCTTCCTTGAGATACTTTAAGACTCCTCCAGCATCCTTCCCTCCTAACACTCCTTATAAATTTAGCCTCTAGTCATCTTGGAACTCATTTGAGTATGATTCTTCTACCATGGTTGAACCATACTCATGAGCACCTTAAGGATTTTGAAGCCAAACCAAAAAAATAAAGCTTGGGGTTTGAAGAGTGAGGTGGAAGAAGAAGAATACTAGAGTTGGATTAGGATTTTAATGGTTGGATCATGAGATATGGAGGAGAAAAGATGAGATGGAGATGAAGAACATGAAGAACAATAGAGAGAGAATGGAGAAGGATAGAGG